GGTGCCCCTGGTCTGCTGGAGACGGTCCCCATCAGACATGGGGCACCAGGAGCAGCTTACCAACGGGGCTCTCTCGCCCCGGAGCTCGCAGGCAGCAATCCGCCACCTCGACCTCCGGGGCGAGAAAGCCCCGTTCGTAAGTGCGGATCCGACATAAGTCGGATCCGCGTAGGTCGGGGACTGCCTGTATTGTAGTTAAATGAGTATTAACCAAAAAACCCAATCCCTCCCTCAATTATTGAATATTAGGTAACTGTCAACTGTGGTGTCATAATTTTGCTAATTTTTAATTTTCAACCGGTCTTGTCTATACTAGTCTTAGTTTCACATCATTTGGTCTGCTGTACCTTGCAATGCTATCTTCCCCATTTTGGTCCAAGAAGTGTATAGTCTGGCTAAAAGTCAAAACATGAAGCTGAAAGTCAAGATTCCTAGGCTCTATAAAACATTTGGGGATGGGTTTACTCAAGCAAGTCATTTAATCTTCTATGCATGTTTACTCACCTCCAAAACAGCATTACCTGTCTACTTCATAGGGATGCTGTGTGACAGAATACATTGAAAAAAGTCTTTGCTATGCTCATATGAAAAATGCTACTTATGCTTTCATATAGTATTATGGTCTCTATGCTTCGGACAGCTTTCACAAGACCACAGAAAAAGAGCCAGGTGGAAAAGATGGTACTGTCTTCATAACATGTTCCTTCTTTCATGCCAGTCATGAGGAAACCCCTTTCTGGGAATTTCACAAGGTTACATTTTCATGGATAGGGATAGGATTCATTCAGCAAAGTAGGAATGCTGTGAAGTTTCATCCAAAAAAATAGATATAGCTATAGTACTTACTCATCTGACAGAGTTTTTTTGCGAGACTGTAATCTTGATCCATAATTGCTTTCAGAAACTAAAAGAACAATATGGTTTAATATGAAAGTTAGCATAGAGAACTGTTGATGTGCACACTTTGAGAATTAGTTTCAAGTTTGGCTGGTTTCTATATGAAATACTTTATAGTGAGCACTTTGAACTATTTCCCCAACAGCCATGAAATACAGAATTTTTCTATTGTTCTAAGTAGATCCACCAGGGGACAGTGGACAACTGCTAGTCCCACCATAACTTGTACAAATGCCACACCATCTATTACAGCTTAGAATTGGGGATTATATTGCTGTGTATGTGTGTTACTCTGAGAACACAACTAAGATATTTTGGAAATATCTAGGTATATGTGTTGCTTTACAAATGAGTAGCCCAACTGACTGCAGTGGAGCTACTCACGAGTGAAGTCATGCACACTCTTAAGTTTTTGCAAGATTGGGGCCTAAGTATGATATGAGAACTGATTTTTGTATAACAGGTATCCTAAGTAACACCTCTTCTCATACAATACGATAAAAATTAAGAACCCAGAGAAATGTGTTCAACAAGAATAGATAAGAAGAAGTTACTCACTCTGTGCAGTAATGGTGGTTCTTCGAGATGTGCGTGCCTGTGGGTGCTCCACTCAGGTCTCGGTGCATCCCTGAGCCAGCAATCGGAGCGTTTTGCATAGCAGTGCCCCTCATGTCGCGCCTGCGCATTCGGCCTCCCCTCCTGCCCCGGAGGCTGTGAAGCATGCGCACGGCACGAGTCCCGTCTGTTCCTTTTCTACCTGAAGTCCCAGAGACTCCAAGCAGAGGGGAGGATGGGAGGGTAGTGGAGCACCCACAGAGACACACATCTCGAAGAACCACCATTACTGCACAGGATGAGTAACTTCTTCTTCGAGTGGTGTCCCTGTGGGTGCTCTACTCAGGTGACTCCATAGCAGTATCCGTCTAATGGAGGTGGGTATTGGAGTCTCTCTAGGTGGAAGAGGGAAGAACCGCCTCTGCTAGAGATGTGGAAGGTATCGGCCCACTGTGTAAGGCATAATGATGCGCGAAAGTATGGCGCAAAGACCAAGTGGCTGCTCTACAAATGTCTGTTAGCAGTACATTATTGAAGAGGGCCGTTGTAGTGGCCATTGCTCGTGTGGAGTGCGCCCTAATGGGTTGCTGTGGCTGTCCACCCTTAAGTTCATAGGCAGTGCGTATGCAGCCTGTGATCTATTTGGATAGTATTGAACGGAAACTGCTGTTTCTGTGCGTGGTCCTGACCATGCCACAGAGAGTCTATCTGACTTCCTGATCGGTCTGGTTCTATCAAGGTAGAACGCGATTGCCCTCCTCACATCCAAGGTGTGTAATATAGACTCCTTAAGGGAGGCATGAGGTTTAGGGAAATAGGCTGGTAAGTAAATGGGCTCATTTACATGAAAGTTAGATATAACCTTAGGGAGAAACCTGGGATGGGGTCTAAGTATGACTTTATTCCTGGTGAATGTAGTGAAGGGTGGGTCTGCCATGAGGGCTGCGATCTCTCCTACCTGTCTAGCTGACATTATTGTCACTATAAATGCAACCTTCATAGATAGGTATTGTGGTGATATAGTGGCTAGTGGCTCGAATGGAGGCCTGGTAAGAACGTCAAGGACCAGGTTCAGGTCCCACGGTGGTACTGGAGGGCGAATGTTTGGCCGCATTTTCTGCAGGCCTGTGTAGCCAGACAGGAACCCCCCTTGTAACATCCATTTTTGCTTGCCTGGAGCATGCAGGGCACACAGAGCAGAAGGCCGTGAATGGCTGTAAACAGAGATACGCCAACTGCTGACCAAGAGGCTGCCAAGGAGTGTCCTTGACTTAACCTATATTGATACGAACACACATCCGTCCGCGGGGGGAGGAATCTCTCGCCCAGTAAAAAAAATGTCTAGTACTCACAATTTAGTTATCTCTCTTGCAAGTGTAAATTAACTTGAAACTTGCTTGTAAGAACTGGCGCCACAAAACGGACCAGTACAATTTGGCATCTTAGATAAGAAAGAGGATAAGGGCCCCCAGGGGTATAAAGATAGGTCCAGCAGCGCATTTTCTCTGAGTGTCAATCTACCATCTATCTGCTGGTCGGGTTAGGTATTTGATCTCCCGAGGTTCTGAAGGTTCAAGAATAGCTTCATTGATAGATAAAGCTATTTTGTAGGCTACTGAGGGCTGCAATATGGTAAGTAATTTATATTGTTTATCCTGCACCTCTTGTAGGGTAATATCCTGTGACTGCTCTACATGTTTGAAAAGTTCTTGAAAATGTTTCAGTCTGCTGTGGGAGAAGGTGAAATCTGAAAGACTGCTTCGCTTTGCTTAGGTCTGGACCCATGAGAAGAGGTCTCTGAGTTGGACTGAGGTAGGTCATCATGCTCAGTGGAACCTGCCTGAGAATTTACTGAGGGTGGGTGAGGTGGCGAGGAGCGTGCAGATATTGGGGGTGAGCGCCTAGAGGTGTGGTGTTGCCTAGAAGTAGAGGCTGGGTGCTTTGGTTGATAGGTGTGAGGGTGGCAGTTGATATGCCTGCGCTGTATCCCAGAGACTCCACTGAGGAGGGAGTTGATGTGGGGAATACATCCATGGCTGGCTATGCCACCTAGGGTGTTGTTGAAGGGAGTTATCCCTGTATGAATGCCAGGAGGATAGTGAGGGGGCAGGTGAGGAATGGTGTGATGAAAACCTGCTCCTATGCCCACTACCATAGTAGGAGCCTGGGGATAGAGGTATAGGTGAGTGGTGGACACTGTGAGGGGTGTTAGAGTGCCCCTGCACCATGGAGCGAGGTGAGGTAGTTACTCCTCTAGACTCAGGCTGAGGAAATTTTTGTATGTGCCTTGTCTTTTGCAGCACTTTCACTCTGCCTGGTTAAATTGGGTGCAAAGGAGGAGCTCACTGGAGCTAATGGGGGAGGCATGTGTAAAGCCTCTGCCTCGCTATCGCCTGATAAAGTGGCATGTTTAGTTTGTGCCTCAGCCCTCCTGGCTGGTACTGATTTGCGTTTCTCCGTGGTACCAGACACTGATGGTACCGGGGAACGAGAGGCTCTAGGCAGCTCGGACACGGAGTGTGCCAGGGAAGCCCTTGAGGCTTGAGAGCCTTTGTGGGGTGGTGAGGCTGCCCTGGCGGAGAGCATTTGCTGCACTCACATGTCCTCTGGTTTGTCCCTTGGTGAGAGAAGAGACTTTTCCCAGAGGATTGCTTTAAGCCGTGCTTTGCGGTCTTTTCTCGCCAACATGCTGTGACATGCTCTGGCAATGCGGGCATTTGTGAGACTCCCCCAGGCATTTGACACAAGGCATGGCCATCAGACGAAGGCATAGAGTCTCTGCAGGAATTGTATTTCTTGAAGCTGGGAGAGCCCGGCATTATGGAAGAGGAGAAGCCGCTGCATCTGTGGCTGCTGCTTTTTTTTTCCTTTTTCTTTTCGCAGTTAAAGACAGGGTAAACTAACTAAACTATGAGGTAACAGGGGTAGAATTAACTAAGAATTGACTTTTTCTCCCTCAGGAGGAAGAGCACTGCTGAGCTCCGTCTTCAGCCAGGGACAGTTGAAAAGGAACTGATGGGACTTGCGCCGTGCGCGTGCTCCACGGCCTTCGGGGGGGGGAGGAGGCTGAGAGTGCAGGTGCGGTGCGAGGGGCACTACTATGAAAAACTCTCCGATCGCCGGTGCAGGGACGCACCGAGACCTGAGTGGAGCACCCACAGGGACACCACTTGATGAAGAACACAAGGCTTCACTCTCAGTATAGCAAGTGTGGACAAAGGACTTGAATAAATCCCTGACAACAGCTGTTGGGTCTACCGTTTACATCACCTGAAGTGGTCTGGGATCTCAAACGTGCTGTCATTTGTTATCAGGTAAGGGGGAAAAACCCCAAGCCCAAACATAAATCTTTAAAGATCTCAGTGACCTAAAAGCAGTAATATTAAACTAACAAATGGAAATCTACAACAGACCCATTTAATTGATGTTTGAGGTAGCATTATCAGAATAGTAAGACAATAGTTAAATGCAGTGTAAGAATCTACTTATATAAATAATAACATGTTAAAAATTATCACATAAGCAAACATGATAAATGCAGTATTCACCACTAAAAACAAACAAACAAACAAACAAAAAAATCAACATTGACCAAAAGATATCTGAGGTGTCATCATTTTCTCTCCTTAGAAAACAGAGCATCTCAGACAGCACTGTATGGTAACTGCCAGCTGTTGTTTTAATAATGAATATTAATACTATTCTCTCATTTGAAGTCAATTAGACAGTTTGAGAGTTGTTCAAGTCAACAGTTCCCTTTAAATTCTCAAAGCTATGCTCATAATTGGCAGAGCCTAGACCTTGATGCTTCTTTGTCAGCAAACGTAGTCAGCCTGCCACAATAAAAGTTCTGTAAAAGGTTTCTTTTCATCTTTCATTGCCAACTTTGTCATTTCAATGTAAAAATGGAAATTACACTGTAGGTGCTATATATTTGTGATCTATCAATCTTCCATACTGCTTATAAAAAGTTTTTGCTTTTACATATGTATTTACAGTGGAAAATACAATGACAGTTCCCCCGTACTCCTCTGAGTTTTGCCCACGTCTCTCTTACAGCACAGGATCTAGATTTAATCTCCGACCCTTCCCACCTTTTGTATACTCAATATGAGTATACAAATAAGGATTTGCCAGGCTTCAGCTTGTCAGGGAAAATTTTTTATTCCAGATCATGTTTCTCACTGTATTGTCATTTTATCTGTAAGAGTATTAGTATCACAATGACAGCAAAGTCTTAACTTTAAAACACAAACTAAACTGTTAATAAAAATCAATGAGACATAAATATATGTACATTGCTGCACCAGAACATTTGAAATACGGATCTCATGCTTCCTTTAAAAAATAAAGAGGAATTGGATGTTGAACAAACGCAACCAATTAGATGAAAAAACATATTGTCTCCCATTTGCCAAACATTTGATTTTCAAGTCTAGGTAACAGAAAGGAAAAAAAAAATTCTCCATATACACTGTGTACTCTAAATGAGTATTAAACACATAGTGGCCACTTACAATCTTTTGTATTGCCATCATACAAACCTGACAGAACTATTTTCCCTCTTCAAACAACTAAACACTGGCACACATCTTTTATATATGCATTTTTTTAAGTTGTTTCTGCAAATGTTGGCAGGGATTTTGGTTGCATAGTATGCCTAAAAGACTAGTTTTCAACACAGTATTTACCATTACAGTATGGGTGGGGAATTGGGGGTCAGAGGCAGATGATCCACAGAAAAATCAGTGAGGGGCCATACAAAAGTAAGAAGCAAAAAAGCTCGTAGATTTTGTGGTACTCCAGCCCCACGAGGGTGCACAACATGGGCTCCCCAATACTGGGGAGGAGCCCTGAGCCTTAGGGGCCAGATCCAGGCAAGCTGGGGGCCACATCTGGCCCCCAGGCCTCAGGTTCCCCACCTCTGCTTTACAGTATCTGCTGCAGAGCCCCACGTATTCCACAACTGCAGAATTCAAGCCTTGCTACACAACTGAGATTCATAATTCTATTGCAAAAATTAAGTCTCTAGCCCTTATGGGTATGTTAACCTAAAAAATGTAAGTAAAGTGTCAACAGCGGTCATCTGAGTCTACAAGCCTGAAAACAAAATTTCTGAGAGATGTGAATGGCCCCAGTCATGGAACTCAAGGCTCCTGGGAGTAGGTGACTGTGCAACTGCAAGCTTTGGCATTTTCCCAAAATACTACAGAATTCAGTATATTTATTGCAGAGTTTACTATCTCACTTTAGCCAAATGCCTAGCATCTTAAGTTCTTTTGCCATCTTGTCCTGTTGATCTGTCCAAAGCTACCTTTTTATCTGCATCATTAAGGGAGAAAGAATTGATAATAGTGCATCACTATTCTATAGAAAAGACAAGAGTGGTTTAGAGAGCTGGGCAGCAGGACTTGGGTTTTTTTAAACTTTTTTTTTCTTACGACCCAGTTGAAAAAAAATTGATGATGCCTGAGATCCAGCATAATTGTTTCTTTTGACTAGAGTGTAGGCTTCATGGTACGGCTTCAAGGATGAGGAATCTGGGGTGAAGGAGGGTGAGGGGGTGGTTTTGCCTAGGGGTGTGGGTTCTGGAGGTGGCAGAGAGATTCAGTATGTGGGTGGGGACTCTGGCTGGGCCATGGGGATGGGGTACAGGCTCTGTTTGGGTGTGCAGGCTATGGGATGGGGCCAGGAATGAGGTGTTTGGGGTACAGAAGGGGTTTCTGGGTTGGGGTGACTTAGGGCTGAGACAGGGGATTGTTGGGGCTCAAGCTTACCTCCAGCGGCTCCCAGTCAGTGATGCAGTGGGATGATAAGACAGGCTTCCTGCCTGCCCTAGCCCAGTGGATTGCACTGCACCTTGGAAGTTGCCAGCAACAGGACTACCTCTCAAGAAGAGGGAAGTGAAGGATTAGTTGGCTATCCGATAAGCAAATGCTTATCGGATAGTCAACAGGCTAGTCGATTAGTTGCTTCCCCCTCTTGCTGCCTCTGTCAGAAAGAGGCAGCAGGGGGAAGGAGAAGAGGGGGTACTTCAAAGCAGAAGCATAGCATGGAGCCTGAGGCTAGACCCCAAGCTTCGTGCAGGGCTGCCACTTTGAAATGCTGTGGGCAGCCGTGACCCAGGCTAATCCCGGGTTCCACAGGGCACTGCTGCTTTGAAATGCTGCGAGGAGCCTGATGCTGGGTTCCCCACGACATTTCAAAGCAGCAGCACTGCATGGAGCCCGGGGTTAGTGGGGGAGTGCACAGCTGACCCCGGGCTCCACGCAGTGCTTTCACCTTTGAAGTGTAGCAACAGCCCCAGGACTGTTGCAATTACTCGAAATTTAACATCCCTACCCCAGACTACCACCATCCCAAGCTCTGGCTCCTGGTTTGTTGCCATTAGCTGATTCCTGGTTTGTCGCCATGCATTGCTGAGCAAAAATGGACAAAGCACATTTTGGGCTTGTTTTGAATAGGGATGTTAGATAGTGCATAATAGAGTAATTGAGTAACCGCACGAATTCTTAGTGGTTACTCAACTATTCTATGGTCCCAGGGGGGAGGGGAAGAGGGAGACAGCAGCAGACAGTGTGTTCCAGCTCCTTTCCTGGGGAGTCCCTGCCATCCCACACTGCTGCTTCTTGAATAACCAGCTCCCCTTGCAGACTGGCTGCCTGGTACCCTGCACTGCTGCCTCTGCTATAGAGGCAGCAGCATGGGGTGGCAGCAGCCTCCGTCTGTGGGGGATCTGAGGTTCCCCATGGACAGAAGCTGTGGAGGAAGAGGGAGAGGGCAAGTAGGGCTGCTGCAAAGCAGCCTCTGTCCACGGGAGGTCCAAGCTTGCCTCCAGGGTCCCATCTCACCGATATAGGCAGCAGTGGGGGGGAGGGAGAAGGGAAATGTGAGTAGTCGACTAGATTAACCAATAAGCCTAGGCTTATAGGTTAATCGTACAATAGACTATTCCTTTACATCCCTAGTTTTTAAATGTGATTGGCTTTATTTTTTGGCATGTTTTGCTTTTTTATCTTGTGAGAATTAGCTACTTGCTTCCACCTAAGAGATGGACCTACTGCTGACTGCTTCCAGGGCACAGAGTAGCCTGCAGTGCCAGGACAGGCAGGAAGCTGGCCTTAGCATTCCCGCTGGTCACCTTGTCACCCTACAACAAGGATACTCAACTTTGGAAGCCCGGGGGGGCCACAATGATATTCACAGCACATGCCAAGGGCGGTAACTTAAGTGAGGTTGCATATACATGCAAATATATATGCAAATATATGCAAATAGCTTCTTTCACACTGACGGGCATGAATACAAAGATTAAGCCAAGACTACACAACTCACAGTCACCATTTTAGTCAGTTCTGCTGACAGTAATAAAATGCAATATTTACCCAATTTCCATCCATATATTTACTAAAACACATATCAACAGAAGCCCATTATATGAACTACTTTTTTGTTTTGGTTCTCACCTGCGGGTCGCATGTGTGAGCCCTGCATAAATCCAAACTGCACTATGGGCTGCAAACAGACAGGCTGCATGCAGCCCACAGGCCACGTGATGAGTAGTCCTGCCCTACAACAAAGTGATACAGTGCCTGTCTTTGCATGGCCCTGTACTGGGTCACAACCTACACGTGGAAAATCAGTGAGCTAGAATATCTGAAGAACAGAGGCCTGTAGAACTCAGATGAGCCATTGAATTTGATTCCCAATTTTGATAGCATGCATGATTAATTGAAAAGAGATTTTGAGCTGAGACATTCCAATAATATTGTAATCAGTGAAGCCCACAGAGCTGGGTCATCTGGAGAAAACAAACAAACAAAAATAAAAATAATCATTGCTGAAAATAATCAGTTAAATTACTCATTGATGCATAATTCATCAATTTTGAAAGATGGTTGCAAGCATATTTGCAGAGGGGAGATGCCATAAATCAACACTGATACAGAATTTGGTAGAATTATGCAGTGTTTGCTACAGAATTGGGTCTCACTATTCTGCAGAGTACAGGAGTCCCTTAGTCAATGTTTGGGGGTGGGAGGAGTGATATTTACCTCTCCCAGCAATTCTATTGGTGCTTTTCTTTTTCTATCTTCATTTTCATCAAGTTCACTGCTACTTTCATCATCATCCGTAGTTTCTGACAGCTGCTCATCATTATTCTGGTCATCAATACTATTTGTCTGAAATTCAGCACTGAGTTCATTATTTGCTGTCTTTTCTACATTTCTGGAATTTTTCTCTTTATCTAAATTACAAAATGAATATTATATTAATAAAAAACAAACAACAATACTTAGCACTAACACTGCATATTATGTGTCTAAAATAATTCCTAAGCATTAACTTGTTAATAGTGATCACTGAAAAGTAGGGATGTTAAAAACGCATTTAAGTAAGTAAATGTGTAACCACTGAAAATTTCAGCAGTTACAGTTACACGCAGGCATGGCAGTAAGCTCCCTGGAAGCCTGTGTGTACTGAGAGCTGGCTTTTAAGTCAACTCTCCATGCACACTGGCTTCTATCTGCCCTCCCCCACAGTACTGCCTCTGATACAGCCAGGGAGGGAGGACATGCAGGCAGCTCCTCAGGAGCCTGCATATTACTGTAAAGGTTAACTGATGACCCTGAGCTCGTCGGTTAACCATGTACAGGTTACACTTTCACATTCCTACCGAAAAGGAGCTTTTGCATATAGCTGAAAAATGTTTTCTATTTATCTTCTGTATCAAAAAGTGAATGTTGACATTATGAGCTCAGCTGTGCCCTTATATATACTAGGGTAATTACACCTGAAGAAAACAATTGAATGGTGCACCTCTCGAGAAAGAATTAGACCAGCTGAATGTAACATGCCATAACTGGAACTCCATTTTAAAATGATTTTCAGTTGTTGTATTTTCAGAAACTTGGCAGTAATATCATTCTTTCAGCTAAATAGTCTGAAAAAAGAATCACTGTACTTATAAAGCACTGGTGCTTATAAATGTTTATCTTCTGGGAGCCTAAACACAGTATATTTTTGTTTCACAGAGTCTCACAAGTCTTTAAAAGAAAGAAAGAATAGCCACTTTACCTGAAAAGGGATGCAAAATTTGAGAAAGTAATAGTTGCCTTGGGAACCATAACTTTGACCTTCCTAACTTTTGTTTCATTTATACAGGCAGTCCCCGGGTTACGTACAAGATAGGGACTATAGGCTTGTTCTTAAGTTGAATTTGTATGTAAGTCGGAACTGGCTCCAGATTCAGCCGCTGCTGAAACTGATCAGCGGCTGACTACAGGAAGCCCTAGGCAGAGTTGCTCTGCCCCCGGCTTCCTGGAATCAGCCACAGCGGCTGAATCTGGACTCCTGGGACAGAACAGATGGGGCGCTGCCGGGTAGGTCCCCGCAGGACCAACCCGGCAGCACCCCAGCTGCTCTACCCCAGGCGTCCCGCAACAAAAGCCTGGTCTGCTAGCTGCGTCCCCTTCCCCCCCAGCAGACCAGGGAGACCCGAGCAAAGCCGCGGAGGCGCAGAGGTCCCGCCGCCTCTGCGGCTTTGCTCCTGTCTCCCTGCTGTGCTGGGGAGTCCCCCCCAGCATACTTTGGAGACCCGGAGCACGGAGGATGCGGTGGCGGGACCACTGCGCTCTGGGCGGTCCCGCCGCCCGCGAGCTCCGGGGCGAGAAAAGCCCCGTTTGTAAGTGCGGATCTGACATAAGTCGGATCCGCGTAAGTCGGGGACTGCCTGTACTGTAACTCCTAAGTGCATTAAATATGGTCTCTTTCATCTAAATTTCTTTGTTATTTGTGAAGTTTTCCCCATGAGTACATTTTGAGTAATTTAAATTGCTGCCACGTCATTTATGACTAATACCTACTGCCACAAACTGCAAATTAGCATTTCTTGGACTTGCCTAACAAAACAAAAAGAGGAGGAAACTTCATCTGTCACTTAAGTATTATAAAGCATTAGCAAGTTTACAATGCCATTCTTTTAGTAGAGTATATAGCTTGGGTGGTAATTTTGAACCAGCTGCTGTCTTGGTCTGAAATACCATGGTGCAGAGGATGTTTTTATTATTATTAGTGATAAAAGCTCTCTTCCAGCATGAATACAATGGAATAATCCACAGAGGATTAAGTGAATACGATATCTCTTTTCACCGGGAGGCATTAAAATGTTCACTTAATTAAATGATCTATTGTCTGAACACACAGGCTCTTTAAAATGAAAAGAAAATAAGAATTGTGATTGAATGCACATTCAAATAAGCATATCTACAGGGCCATCCTTGGGCATGTGCAACCTACAAAGCTGCATAGGGCACCACTAAATCTGGGTATGCTGCATATGTCCTGGGATGGGATGTTAAGCAGCTGAGCCCCATCTCTTGGCAATCCCTCCCTACATAGGCTCAGTGTCAGAGCTCTAGCAGCTGAGGTCTGAGCCTAGCCCCCGCTCACCAAGTAGCAGCAAGAGGCACAAGCGCTGGCAGAGAACTCTGGAGGAGCAGAGAGTGGCTATGCACCTGCCAACAGAGAGAGACGGAGCTTTTTCTCCAAAGCACTGCTTCTCTCCAGCTGACAGTGAAACCGCCCTCTGCTCCTCTGGCCCATGCTCACACCTCCCACTGCTGCCCTGAGGCTGCAGGAGGGCCTCCCTCCCTGCCCTATTCCAGGGTTTCCAACTCTCCTGGGCCAGATGCCATTGCAGAAAATGGCATCTGATCTGGGAGGGCAGGCAACTACCTGCACCCTACAGCTCCTGCCCCTGCAGCTTCTCTTGTAGAGTGGCCACTCCCCTCATAGTAGATAGGTGCCAGTGCTAGGCCGCTTAGGGCACCAGCACTGGTAGGGATAGCCCTGCACATCTAAAATAATGTCATTCACTTTGGAAATGCATATAGGACACACTCATTAATAAGGGAATTTATTCTCATATATTGGACTACATGTTGAAATGAACACACAGATCAGTGCCTAATCTTTTGAATTTAAAAATCAGTGAGAAGTCAATAAAAGTTGCTGGTTTCAGCCAAGTCCTGAGTGGGTGTATGTTCACATCACTCAGCCGTGACCTAGTAGAGTACAGCTGATAGCCTCTCCTTCAAAATCCCAGGGTTGAATTAAGCAGGCATGTTGCTGGTCAGTCTTGAGAACTACTGGCAGAACTAGGCATGTTGACCAAGTGGGAGGAAGGGCAAAGGGGGCAGATGTCCTGGCGCCTGGTGATTTAAAATGGTCTGGGGCTCCTGGCCACGGTTGCCGCTATTCTGGCCACAGTGGCAGCCGGAGTCCCAGGCCATTTAAATCACTTCCAGAACCCCGAGTGGTGCTGAAGGGCTGGCTGGGAGAGGCTAGCCCCAATCCTACCTCTTCTACCTGAGACCCCATCCCTTCCAGCAGTGCGAAGCCATCCTCTATCCCCCCCACTCCCTGCCTTCTTGCCCAAGGGTCAGGCATGTCTGCTGGCCACCCTGGGCAGAACCAGGTGGAAAAGCTTGGATTGTGCCAACCTGCCTTCTTTATCCAGTTCGGTCATCTTAAACACACAAACTGATGTGTTTGCACAGAAGTACTATGAAATTGTGATAACGGGTTTAATGAAGTTTCTTGAAATTTCAAATTAACCAAGTGCAGAAACATATCCAATCACACAAGCTGCTGAAGTCAAAGCAAAGACTCTGACTACAGGAGGCTCTGATTCAGGATCATAAAAGCAGTATGGGTTCTGGTAAGAAAATTTTACCTTAGCTGTAACACCATTCTTTTAGCTAAATATTCTGAAAGAAGAGTCATTGGTGCTTACAACGTTTGATCTGCTGAAAGCCAAAATGCAATGTATTTTTGTTTTACAGAAAAAGATTTATTAGAACATCAACTGTACCAATTTTATCCTCAAGAGGTTCTACTATAGTGTAATGTAGCAACCATCAAGTGTCACCGAACAAAGTAATAAGGAAGAAAAATGAAAGTTGAAGACAAGACAACTTTTAATTTGAAAAAAATCCCATGGAATTCATCAATTTAATGAATGCCAATACTTTGTTATTGAGATGCCAGTTGCAGCTCCATTATTAAGCATGAGCTGAGTTTTACACTTAAAATCAGAGATTCAACTGATTATGTATATTAAAAAATAGTGTACCCTAACCGAGATTACTAATACTTACTCTTTGATTATACAATTAATTTACATTCTTTTGATAATTAGTTTAGGAAGTAAATTCAAAAATAAATTCAGCACCTACTGCCTGACTTTTTGTCTCAAATGATCTTATTAACAGAATATTGCATGTGGTTTGCCATGTGGTTTACTTACCGAAATCTTCACTGTGTAGGCTACAATTGAAAATAAATGTTTTTTTTTTTACTTATGGCATTTCCCTGTGATACACTGTTCCTCGAAATAGCACCATGTAATCCCTATATTCCTCATTCATAAATGGTTGTGATATTTCATATAAAACATGCCTTGTAAGATAGCATATGAAAGGTCATGATCTTCTGATACCCATGGTTCTATCAAAATATGTATATAACTAGTGTGTATGAAATTATGAGACTTTGCTGGATGGTTGTATTGTATATATATATATTGTAAGTTTGGGAATTGTCCACTGTTAGTTCTCCAATGATTACAAAGGAGGTGATCCAAAGCCAGGTGGGTATTAAATGACCATTAATCAGCAATAGATTTACAAGAGTTGCCTTAAGAGTTGCACAAGGATCACACAATGGGGGATTACTCAATTCCATGACTAAGTAACCCCAACCTAGTCCGGGACATTCCTAGAATAGTATTTTCCAGGCTCATAGACTGAGGGTATGAAATAAAGCAGTGGTTCCCAACCTATGGGCTGCAGAATCCTGGTGGTCTGCAACGGTACTGCAGGAGGTCCACAGAAAGTTTAAAAGTAAGGATCTTACCTTTCTTTTCCTTTCCTTTTCTTTTTTTCCTCTCCCCCAGGGCAGAATGCAAGGGCAGGAGTGCCTTCAAGGGTAGAATTTTGGGAGGGTAGGGGGCAGCAACCATGCGCTCCGGGACGTGGCTTGCTTTTCATCCCATTCCCTGGATGCTATGGGAGTAAGTGGAAAGTGCTTGCATTCTGTTCATGCCTCTCACACCTGTGTGTGTGCGCGAGAGAGAAAGAGAGAGAGAGAGGCACGCACAGAATGTAAGGACTTTCTCCTAATTACCTTAGCATTCAAGGAATGGGATGAAAAGCAAGCCACATCCCGGAGAGCATGGCTGCTGCC